CAGCTCGTTGGAGCTGAGGAACTTGGCAAGCTGACGATCCGAGAAACCAAGCTGCTTGGCCTGGCGGATAAGGGGCCTGGGCACACTGGTGGCATTGTATTGGGTCATGAGCTTGCTGAAGTCGCTAAGACCCTTAAGTCTGCTCAGGAACCACTTGTCGATCTGGGTAAGCTTCCAGATATCGTCGACGCTGTAGCCAGTAGCCATGGCGTTGGCAATGGCAAACAGACGCTGGTCGGAGGGAGTCTGCAGTTCACCCTTGATGGACATGAGGGCATTGGTCTCGTTGAATCCAAGGTTGTGGAAGTCGACGGAGCGGATAGCCTTCTGAATGGCTTCCTCGAAAGTACGTCCGATAGCCATGACCTCACCAACACTCTTCATGGAGGAACCGAGCTGGGTGGAGACACGGGTGAACTTCTTGAGATCCCAACGGGGAATCTTCACGACACAGTAGTCAAGGGAAGGCTCGAAGCAAGCGCAAGTGACCTTGGTGACCGAGTTCTTGATCTCGTTCAAGGGGATACCCAGACCAAGCTTGGCAGCGATGAAGGCAAGAGGATAACCAGTGGCCTTGGAAGCAAGAGCAGAGGATCTGGACAAACGAGCATTGACTTCGATAATGCAGTACTCCTTGGAGAAGGGGTTCAGCGCATACTGAATGTTACACTCTCCGACAACACCAAGGTGGCGAATGACGTTGACGGCAGTTGTACGCAGCATGTTGTAGTCTTCGTCAGAAAGAGTCTGGGAAGGAGCAACAACGATAGAGTCACCGGTATGGATACCGAGAGGGTCGAAGTTCTCCATGTTACAGACAGTGATGCAGTTGTCCCTGGCATCACGGACGACTTCGTACTCGATTTCCTTCCATCCCTTCATACTGCGCTCAATCAGCACCTGAGGACTAGCAGCGAAAGCCTTGAGGCAGAGCTCCCTCAGCTCATCCATGTTATCGGCGAAACCACTGCCAAGACCTCCAAGGGCATAGGCAGCACGGACGATAACGGGGAAGCCGATGCTTTCAACGACTCCCATGGCCTCTTCCAAGTTGGAGGCAGATGCGGACTTGGCACACTTCTCATTGATGGAGTCCATGCTGCGAGCAAACAGCTCACGATCTTCGGTGGTGATGATAGTATCAATAGGGGTACCGAGGACCTTGACACCGAGGGACTCGAACTCATCCTTGAGCTGAATACCGACCTGCAGAGCGGTCTGGCCACCGAAGGTACAGTAGATGGCATCAGGGCGCTCGTGCTTGATCACCTTGCGAACAAAGTCGGCATTCACAGGAAGGAAGTAGACCTTGTCAGCCAAACCCTTGGAGGTCTGGATAGTGGCAATGTTGGGGTTGATCAAGACGGTGTAGATGCCTTCCTCCTTCAGGGCCTTGATGGCCTGACTACCGGAGTAGTCAAACTCACCAGCCTGGCCAATGCTCAGACCACCACTACCCAGGATCAGGACCTTCTTCACGGAAACGCGAGGAGCGATTCTGATGTTCTCTTCCTTGGCGCCACCAGGGAAAGAGACAGGCTTCTGAAGAGCGTCCGAGGAAGCCATGGTGTCCTTGATGCTGTTGATGAAGACGTCGAACAGGTATTCGGTATCTCTGGGACCAGGGGTGCTTTCAGGGTGGAACTGGACACTGAAGAAGGGCCGGTTGACGTGACGGATACCCTCGTTGCTACCATCGTTGGCATTAACGAAGAGCTCCTCCCAGCCCTCGGGGAGGCTGTTGGAGTCCACGGCATAACCGTGGTTCTGAGAAGTGATGTGGCACTTTCCGCTGAGCATGCTAGTGCAGGGAATGTTGTGACCACGGTTACCGAACTTCATCTTCAAAGTCTGGGCGCCGACGGAGCGAGCGATCAGCTGGTGACCCAAGCAAATACCGAAGACAGGAGTCCGGGCCTCCTTCAAGGTCTTGCTGAGGTTGTTGACAGTGGTGGCAAGGGTAGCCGGGTCACCGGGACCGTTCGAGACGAACAGACCGTCATAGTCCTTTCCAGCAAGAGTAGGGAAGTCATAATCCCAGGGAACGACGAGAACCTCAACACCGCGGGCAAGCAAGCAGCGCAGCTGGTTGAACTTCAGACCCACGTCCAAGCAGAGGACACGCACCGGGCGACCGGAGGGGTGTTTGAGGGCGACATTCTCGGGAGGGGAGAAAAGTTTGGGTTCCTTGATCGACACTGTCATATACAAGTCAGAAATGATCATTCTCGCTTGAGTTGTGAGTCGGGTGCCTACCTTCGGCGACCAGGTTCTTCTTGTTGGGGTCAACCCATTCGATCTGTTCGAAGAAAGGCTTCCAGCTGTCCTTCTCCGTGGGGATAACAGTGGCATCGCTGACAGTCTCAGACTTCTGGAGCAGCAGACGACCCAGCATGCTACCCTTTTGACGGATGCGCTTGGTGAGAGCACGGGTATCGACACCATGGACGGCAGGAACACCTTGCTCCTTCAGCCACTGGCCAAGGGAGGACTGAGCAAGGAAGTGGGAGTATTCCTCTCCGGCGTAAGTAGCAACGACCAGACCCGCGATGTGAATCTGGGTGGACTCGAAGTACTTGGGAAGAGTCTTCAACAACTCATCCATGGTCTCCCGGGAGGGGACACCATAGTTACCGACGAGGGGGAAGGTAACGACGAGGATTTGGCCCCGATACGAGGGATCCGTGATGGACTCTGGGTATCCCACCATACCGGTTTGGAAGACCAATTCACCGGCGATACTCTTCTCGGCACCAAAGCTGTAGCCCTGGTAGACGGTGCCGTCCTCAAGTTCGACGGCGACCATCCTCCCATTGCTGCCCCGGTAGGGAGCCGAAGCGGGAGGGATCACGGCCCCATTGTGAGCTTCCATCGGGGGAAGCGGCTGCAATTCCTTGTTGATCTGGTTGTAGGCCACTGCGCCTCCAGAAAGAGGGGAGGAGGGGAGGGCAGCCTCCTCGTGACCAGCGGACTGCGGCATTCTGGTGTGGTGACTGTGTATGTGGGGGGAGGGGAAAAAGGTCCTCTCGGGGACTGTATGACTGGGGGGTATTCTCTCTACCGTAGCATCAGCAGCCTCCAAGACCCTTTTGAGAAAGATGCAAGAGGGGAGGGAGTAGAGTGATTCTGCTGCTTCCGCACAGGAGGAGGAAGAATATAGGAAAGAGAGAGGAGAGGAGGAGAAAGAAGAATTCTCAAGAATAAAATTTTGTGTACGGCGGGCTTGATGGAGCTCTCTCATTGGGCTGTTGAACTCACCGATCCGGGGATCATGGGCCTTTCTGCTGGCCCTGACCGCCTCTGAAGAAAATTTTTCTCGACATTTTTTGGGGATTTTGAGGGGGTTGAGCACTGGGAGCCTTCGTTTGCTTTCTTTCCATTGCTAATTATGGAGTCTAAGCAATTCCTGTCCGCAATCCGGAGCCAGTCAAGTTTCATTCCCCTCCTCCCCTCCCCTTCCCCGAGTTCCAATTGCTGCATTGACTCATCCGTCACAGCGTGAATGGCATATTCTCTTTTACATCTGATTTACTACTGATATTCCAGATTGAGGGACTGATTCCAATCAGTATGGAATTCATACCCATCTGACGACTCATTCTTAATACGGAGTACATCCCCTGACGAGGATTAGACGGGACAGGGCCACCAATGTGTAACCGAGTGAGGTCATCGCAAGCAGAAAGCTCTTTTCTAGGTTAGTCTCGTATTAGGATTGCAGTTCGGTGGAGGGGGTTGCAGAGAGCGGTTCTGCCGCACACACAGACCTTCCTGCCTGTTAGTGCCACCAGCCCCAAAAAAAAACTGCCGAGATGGCCCGTCTCCGTCACAGTCAATTGGTTCTTTGGGGGACAGTTCGCCACACGGATCGACCACGCTTGCAGCCTGTGGCCACTGCAGGCGGTGAGCGCTATCCTACCCGGTTTGCCTGCCTTGGCTTTTGGTTCTGGATCCGGTCCGATGCCTGGCTTCATTTTCCTCCAATCATCGGCCCGATTGGCGCTTTCAGGAAACTCAATGCCAACCCGTTATCGGAAAGTGTACTTTTTTCGGCCTTTCGGTGGGATGCCGTTGGTTGAGTACCTTCTGGAACAAAGAATTTAGCATCTTACAGCTACTATGTTGAACCTTTTTTTTCCCGCTGTATACCCCGTAGACTGTATGCAGTATCTGCTCGAGCTCCTTGTTTTATCTTACCTTGAAATCCCCGCATCATGTGGCTATTCCGTTCCCGCATTGTTGGCGTTTCTGGACGGGTTCCTTGCATTAATGAACAAGTTGACAACCTAACCATCTATCTACCATGTGGAATATTCAATGTCGTCTCATTCATTCTTATAGTATGTGATATTCTATTCAAACGGTATTGAGGGTCCTTACATATATTGTGTGGTCCGCAATTGCATTGAGCACGGAGAAATTGAAGACATATCATATATATTTTTGCACATCGCTTTACTATAGTATCTTCTATGTCTCAGCCCTATCAGAACCTCCAAGAGACATACCCCCGCTTCTGTGGATATATGAAATGCAGATTATTGATGCTAGTATTTATTCTCGACTTGTGACTATGAGGCCGAATTTGCATTCTATATGCGTTCTGCAGCACTCGGATCAAGCACTTGAAGAGTCAATGCCAAGGCACGTTGCTGGGAGTTCTCCAAGTTCGATCGATTAAAGTGCGCACACTGTGTCAATCACCAGACTCCCTGCTTGATGTCCGACATTTTACACAAAGCGGCAAGGGTGATAGCGTCCCTCTCATAGAAGCGCCGCCCTTCCCCAACCTCGATGAAGTAGCTGCAGATTCACACTGAGGGGGTTTAAACAGACTGTATACAGTTTCCTCAGGCGAGTTTCTTCGATCTTCCCTTGATTCGCAAACTCGCGCCTTGGCCATAGCTGAGAAAAGGTTGTATGTCACTCCTTGCGACCCGTCCGAGAGATTAACATGTCATATGTCGTTTACTGCCGCGTGATGACTGCCGCGTGGGTCTTGAGCACGGTGGCTCGAACATTTAGACATATCCCTACACACCATTAGTGTCATCATATCGTAAAACCCACAAGCCTAACTACCCCAACCCTTCCCAACCTAGTAAAACACCGCAGCATACACCACCTGCATCATAAGAAATTCCAACGAATACTGCTCCAATATATCAGGCACAAGGTCAAGCCAAGCTGGTTTAAACCTGCAGGCGATCGTCGCATTGCAAAACTCCCAGTACTCCGGGAACCACCCAGCACCCTCCCAATCCAGTAAAGTAATATTGAACTCCGGACATCCATCGCGAACTCCGAGCCTCTCGACCATAATATTCTTCGGCTGAAGGTCACCGTGAGTGAAAACAGGACGGTGACCGGTCAGAGTCCGTTCAATCATGGGTCGCAATAATCGAATGTACTGTTCTGATTCTATCTGGCGGAGTCTCTCGATGATGGCATGATTAAATTCGTCCTGGCTTGTGAAGGGCCCAGAGATCTTTGGATCGTCATTGACAGTCCAGAATACTCCATCAAGGTAGGGTTGGCGGTTCACCATACCGAAGTAATCTGGCGACGGTATACTCCGTAGCTTTGTGATTGCGTCCTTGATCAATTTGCATATCGTCGCCTTTTCGCTCGAATCAAGCGATGGCAGTAGATTTTCAAGAGTGTCGCCAGGGACATGGTCCATTATGATATAAGTTTTCTTAGTGTCTGGGTCGTTAAAGGCTGCATGGACTTTGGGAACTGGGACTTGGTTGTCTTCAAGAAATTTCATCGTTTCAGCCTCGATGAGGGGTACCCCATAGCCTGATTTTACTGCGAAGCGCTCCCCCACGCGGAAGACTTGGTCGTATGCATCGGATATGCTTAGGCGCTCTGTTGCAGCCTCGATTTCGGGGACGGTTGGTAGGCGGAGGGTCTCAGGGGCTGTTTCATTTGACATGTTTGGCTACTTGTATTCTGTGGTATATTGAGCTTTTATTGATACAGATTTGTGGCACAGGGGCAGGTGTAAGCAGAGGATGGTCGGCGTTTTGTTTATGTTGAGTTTATGGTGAACAGCTGATAAGGAGGGGGAAAATCGACCAGTCAAGACGTAGAGAGACCCTGACCCTTGATTAGTAGCACAAACACGTGACAGAAGACTAGTATGCCTTTAGAGAAACTATTTAGAAAATTCCTAATGAACTCTAATAACCTAATTGGTATTTTATTTACTTCGGAACCATTACAAAATGTGATGCTTTGGAGCTGCCCTAGTGTCAGATATTGAACAAGCTGTGGCACATTTATATCTGAACATAGTGCACTGGTAATCCCGGACCCGATCATCCCTGACTTCAGTCTTTGATATTATCCTTACTCCGAGTTTGAACCGAGAAGGACCGGCTGAGGTGTTAGCTGGCTACCCTGTTCACATTATCAACACACGCTGGACCGGGATAGTGACCTCACTCGCAGGCATTGCACATTCCACATCGCCTGATTTGTCTGTTGTCTATATTAATTAAGCTAGTGTGTCCTAGGGAGTCGGAAATGGATCCGAAAGGGGGAAAGAGCAAGCACAAGGCTTAGATATCCAAGGCTAACTTGTTACTTACTAGTGGGTTTTGATGGAGATTGACACTATTTAGACCAGGGTCACAAGGCTCATGTCTCCTGCGACCGAGACCACGACGCACTGATTCTCCCAGCGAGGAACATTTCAGTAATGGCAACTCTTACCAATGACGGGAAGGGCCCGCTTCAAGTGCCTGGGTTTGGCTCCATTCCCTTGGATTTTCAGCTCCCGCCAGAGGCTCGCTTTGCGCATGGGTTGTTGGACTACCGCCACACACCTCGGTTGACCAAGCGGGAGATGGCCATGCTTCGTTTCATGCAAAAGGTCACGGAGAAACCTGGATGGGATTCTGCCGTACTGGATCCAGATGAGATGCAGATCGCGCAATGGTACCGTGAGGCCACAGAAGGACCGGACGGTCACTTGATCAGCACCGCTGCATGGGAATGGTGCCTGGCGGAACTGCGCGATAAAGCAGAAACGTGGCGAGAAACCGGCCGCCTCCTGGTCTTTGACAGCTCCTCGGCTGTGTGTCATGCCGATGTGTGTCTGTCAGATCAAGGGTCCCTGTCCCTGTCTACGAAAGAAGGGATTCAAGCGGAGATAGACCGACTGGTGGCCCCACACCCGCAGCCCAGACCCTACATTCAATATAATCGCTTAGTGGATCCATTTTTGTATCCCCTTGTCTACAATCAGTCTCGAGTCCTGGTTCATGGGGGACGGACCTCCCTTGACAATTATCTCTGGGATTCGGCCGACGAACCTGCTGGAGAGCTACCTCCTCATCCCCTGGGTCTTCACCAAGACCGGCCCCATCGTTTGGATCGCAGGCCTGGTCAGGGCGGACCGGAGAGCTGCTGGTCGAACCGCTTCCAATGGCTTCCTTGTGAAGTGCAGTTCAATGGGACTGACCCCCTGGATGTTCGCATTACTTCATACGTCAATAACCTTCACCCGGGAAGGCACCAGAAACTGTATAGGTGTCTTGAACGCCTCATGGCAAGCTCCGTTCCTTCCTGGAATGAGATCCTATTTTACGGCAATACCCGTGGCTGTCGCCCACCACGTATCCTGACATATGGATGCGAGATTCATGACTATAAAGGAGAGCACAAATTGTTCGATGCCCTACATCGCCATCCACGCAGGCAGCTACAACTTGACACTTCAAAAGAGTGGGAGACCCTGCGCAATACAGCCCGTGAGTACATTGAAGGCCCTGAGCCACCAAAGTGGAAGCAGGCAGAGCCTTTGCCTGACAAACCGGCCAATTTGTTGGAAATGCTCACTCCTGAGCAATGGGATGTTCCTAACCACGTTTATTGGATCGCTACATTCAAACGCACACGTCGAGCTTGGTTCAACCACCCAGAACCCGGTGTCTCGTTCTCGTACAAACAGTGGAAGCGGGGTGAATTTACAGGACATGCGATCCACGCGCAGGGAATCAGCAAACACCCGGATCCGCTACACCATGACCGCAAGCCTATTCAATTAGAGAAGCAGTTTCAAGATGAGGGTTTGCAGGTTGTAGTGGAAATTACCCGCATCGAAATACACCCCGAAAATCCCATCTATAACGGAGAGAAGCATTTCCACACCGAGGGGCTCCGCAACGACCGCATAGCAGCCACCAGTCTGTATGTTGTGGAGTGCAAGAACCTCACCCAAGTCCGCTTGGCCTTCGAGCACGAGGACAAACTTCACGCCTCAGAGCTCCAGTGTCAGGTGCCGAAGGCACTTGCCGCAGTTTATGATGTAAGTTCCTGGGAGCGGCGCGAGGAGGAACCCCCTCGCGCACTGCACACTTTCGGGTCGGTCCCGCTCGCAGAGGGCCGTCTTCTCAGCTGGCCCAATACCTATCGATCGAAGCTCGAGCCCTTCCGCTTAGTGGACCCCAGACAGCCGGGAAATCTAACCTTGATCAAGCTTCGGCTCGTCGATCCACATTATCGCATCTGTTCAACGCAGAATGTTCCTCCGCAGCAACATGAGTGGTGGGCTGCTGCAGCCCGACAGGCAGCTCGGCTCGATCAACGCTTACCTCTGGAGATGGTGTGGTCTGTAATGGATCAAGTGAAAGACTGGCCAATGTCCGCAGAAGAGGCCGAAGAGCTACGCATAAAATTGCTATTTGAGCATGAACGCGTGCGGCGGGTCATTGATTCGTGCGTGGGACACCACTTCGTCGATAGTCTCCCCTACAATGAAGAGAGAGCACGATATTTGAGCAATCTAGTGTCCGAGGCCGGTTATGAGTCCCCTTAGACGCTGTTGCAGGGCCATACTTAGTGTCTCTGAAATAGAAATAGGCGTCAAACGCCTGCATATCTAGCGCCGGAATTGTTTCGATTTGTCCAAGCGCACCAGACGACGTTCAGACGGCGCCAACTATAGCGCTTACAACTTCCCATTTGCAAAATAGCTTTGGAAAACTTAACTTAAAAAGGTAAAAAAGTCCCTTTATTGGAACAGGAAGTCATTCTACATCAAATGCGAGCGACATGCCATAGATACTGGGAGTGCGTTCCAAGCAATCTCAGCTCATACAACAACGATAACATCCCAAATCAATATAATGTACCGCGACCGTATGGGATTTATTCCCCATCGTGACAAGATGATCCGACTTCAAAACCATTTTCCTTATAATTGACTCCCTTGAGATACTCCACACTCTCCACTCAAAACTAAGATCCCACAGCCCCTCATAGCCAGGAGCAGAGATAAACATGAAAATGTAGCAACCAAACCCAGCAACAACTCTCCGCTTTTCCTAGTGTAGTAAAATGCCGCGAAAGTCACGTAGATAAAGCTTGTCCCTGGGACATACCCGTCCACCTTTTCCGAACTTTCAGGTGTTTCGCAGATACGGAACGGATGGATTTGCCGATTAGAAGATACTAGGGGTAATCATGTATTTGCCTAGGGTGTCAAGGAAGTACTAGTTATATGCACCCTATTCGAGGTGTAATTTGTCGAGTACGTAACTGTCAGCGTCCTTGATGAAAGTGGATAGTGGATTGTTATCGGAGAAGGTCAAGTGCGATTGGGGTTGTTGTAGGGGGTTTGTGGCGGCGCAGACAAGTAAATTGACGGCTAGAAGAGAGAAGAATATATACAAGGTAAATGTTGGATACATTGTGTCTTGAGTTGATATTCGATGGAACGACTACACTGTATAAGAGAGGACTGTGTAATTGTCGCGAATAGTAGGATATTATTGTCACTATTCGATCATTATAACCTTGATATTCTCGTACACGACGTCATGTTAAACCGTAGACTATATATATACTACTCAGAAGTTAGCTTTATGACGCCTATATGGAAGTGTATATCATACTGCTTGTGGCTGTGATCGGCCACTTTGAGTTCTGAGATGATAATTACCTCAAAAGATAATTGTTTAGCTATGTTTGAATAAGTCATTAGAATAACTTTATCAGGATGATTGACTTTGGTAGTATATAATAAGAAGGCTTGAAACAATACTAGCTTGCTTTCGAAGGTTCCGTGGTTAAGGATAGAGTTGTACATACAGATCTGAAGCATGACGTTGTCTGGAATACAATGGTGATTATACTTTGTGGCACAATCATCCTACAGATCCTGGGCAGATAAATGTATCGTGAAAGAACTAGTAATCGGTCTCGTCGGAGTTGACTGCTTATCAATTTATCCGGTACTTTTATGCAAGCTTCTCAGAGTATCACATATGTATGATGCGTAGCGCTCAAAGTGTGTGTCTGATTGCTGGTCAGAATGCGAATTCCCTGCTTTTGTATTCTTGATTTTTGTGCATGATTTAATTTTCCTGATTACTTGGGGATAGTATCTAGTATCAGGTGCATTTGTTGTAAGTCATATGCATAGTTGAACTTAAAGATCATGAGTTCATTCTCGGTCCTGCTTCAGTGGGTGTCAAAGAGCATAGAAATTAAATAAGGGACAAAGGAATGATCTTCCGTTTCTTTTTGTGTTTAAATACAGTAAAAGGGAGAATTTTTAATCTATCAGTACAGTCTAAGCGGGGTATAATATCTACTTATAATGATATACTTATGGAGAAGCTTGGAGATTATTTGATGTATGTAGATATTCTATAGTGGTGACGTTTCTCAAAACATAGTAATAAAAACCAGATGATCTGAAAAATTCAGCTCAGTCAAGTGGTATCATCCCTTGCGCAATGCATTGATAGACATTCTTTATCACTGTAAATGGTAAGGTTGTTTGCCACCCGCACCGTCACATACTTGTTCCGATAAAGAAAAGTGGCGGGGTTCCCAGAGATCTCCATCTTATGATCAGTGGGAGTTTTTTTAGTACGTACATCGGAAGAAAAAGTACGATTGTTTTTTTCACCATAAGCTAAGGGGTCGGTTAGCGGTCTGGCCACATTGTGCCGTTCCAATGATCTAAAGCACACGCCAATGACAATTCAGGTGCGGAATACTTATCGGACGCTAGCTCTCGAGCTCGTCTGATTCCCTGCGATCGCCGCCTCCGCTGCTGCACTCACTGCAGGCGCATGTGGGCTGCGTTAATTTTGGGAGCAGATCGTTTCAACGCTTCGGCAGCTCTCCCTGCTTATCTCCCCCCGTTGAAAATACCTCGTGAATCACGCGAACCTGCCAGGTTTCTTGCCCACCTTGGGATTAACTGCTCCAACAAATCCCTCCTCACTCTTAATTAAGGCCTTCTCTTTGCTCAGTTCTGAGTGACGCATTGTTGTTTTTTCTGCCTTTTCTGCCTTGGTTTCTGGCGCGTCCCCAACATGCAGTGACGGCAATTTATAAACCCGCCCATTGTTGCTGAGACTTCAGGGGATGACGATTCCCAAAATGCTTGCCTCCCTTTTGCGCCCCAAGAAAAGACGAGTCTATGCAGAGCGGTCGCCATTCTCATCGCCGTACACAGCTCGCGATTCCCAATGGCCTTTTCTACAGAATAACGCACCTCAACGAGGCCTTGAGCCAGGCTATGAAGAGATCAACGGATACAGCGGCACCCATGAGGGGCCTGGCGCAAGATCTGAAGATGATGCCGACGAAGAGGATGACGAACCCGTTGAGTCCACGCCTCTCCTTCCAATATTTTCGGCGTCGCACCTAGGTAGAGATACTCGCCCTATCATTAAAAATCCCAATTCATGTTCGCATGCTGATTTTTTAGACACTCTGCCGGTTTATGACATCACCCATGCCATCCGTCCTCTCATTGTTGCTCGATGCGAAACCACCCTGACCTGGGACCAATTGCGCTCGCCACAAATATCCCAATTCTTGGTCAAGCCTATTCAGCAGAAGATTCGAACGTTGCATTTCTCCCGGGCTACACTTTATGCGCTGATAACGAACTGTCTCCAGTTCTCGAAGGAGGTCCATCTGAATCCCGGCAACAGCGGCGTGAGCCAAACTAGGGCCATGGTCAGCGAGCTTCTCGCTATTAAGTTGCTGAGAGAATATTCGACGCGGGAATTGATTGACGCGCTTTCCTACGAATTCTATCCTCTCAACGGTCAGACGCCAACGGCAACTGTAAGCTCCGATCGGGCACCTGGCTGGTATTCGACTCCAGGAAGCAAACGTCCTGCTATCGCCCGTGTTTCTTGTCTCGAAGTGGCCATCCGCGCTCAGGCGAAACGGTTCTTGTCACATCCCCTGGTGGTACAACAACTTGAAGCGATATGGGCTGGCACGATTGTCTTCCATTCCGCATCTGATTACCTCCATCGCTCGCCCGCACAAGTCAGGAACAATGGGAGGCTGCAGTATGGTACCGCTCCTGATCCTTCTCCCCTTGGCACGTCGCATCGTCAGCCACAGCCCAACGTATCTGGACTTCGACGTTCGGTCACGATCTACAACCCAAAGGATGCCTCATTGTTCAAGCTTTCACGATTACGTGTGCCTCGATACAGGCAGTTCCTGTCAACTTTGTCATTCGCGGTTCTGCTGGGATTGTTCCTGGCTGTGTTGAACCAACGTCGCCTCGAAATTACTCCGCTGGAGGTTATCTTTTGGCTTTGGAGCGCTGGCTTCATGCTCGACGAGATTGTCGGTTTCAACGAGCAAGGTTTCAGCTTGTATCTCATGAGCTTTTGGAATCTTTTTGATCTCGGTATCCTTTTCCTCCTTTTCTGCTACTATTGCATGCGACTCTATGGTGTCATCCTGCCCTACACTCGCAATCACATTGTAGCAGATCAAGCGTATGACATCTTGGCCGCGAATGCAGTCCTTCTCTTCCCGCGACTTTTCTCGGTTCTTGACCACTACCGCTACTTTTCTCAGCTGCTTATCGCATTTAGAATCATGGCTTCCGACCTTATCGCGGTTTTCCTTCTGATTATCATTGCCTGCAGCGGGTTTTTCGTTGCATTCACTCAGGCGTTTGGCAACAGCGATGACCATTCTCCTGGGGCTGTCGCGTATGCCCTATTTCAAATGCTCATGGGGTTTACTCCAACAGCATGGAGTCTTTGGGACGAATACAATATGCTGGGCAAACTCATCTTGACAGTGTTTCTGTTCATTTGTCACTTTGTCGTCGTCACCATCCTCATCACCGTTTTGACGAATTCCTTCATGAGTATTGTGCAGAATGCCAACCAGGAGCACCAGTTCCTCTTTGCCGTCAACACAATCTCTATGGTCAAATCGGACGCTCTTTTCTCTTACGTCGCCCCGACCAATATTCTTGCTTGGCTTATCACCCCACTTCGTTACTTCGTGCCATTCCGCGAATTCGTTCGGATTAACCGCACGATCATCAAGATTACTCACTTACCCATCTTATTTACCATCTGTTTCTACGAGAAAGCAATACTGAGTTCTCAGGTAATCGATTCAACCGACTTGATTGAATCGACATCTCGAGGTGATTCATCAGACCGCTTTCGAGCCCGACGTCGATTCAGGGCTTTCAGCTCGCAGATTCGACCCTTCGTCCGAGAACCATCAGTTGCCACATATCAGAAAGACCGTGCTTTGGACGAGGTGTTTCGACGGCCATTCCGCGACGCAACAGCTAGACGTCCTGCCGCCGCCCTTCAACGCAGAGGAAGCCACAGCGTCGTCAACAAGTGGATGCAGACTATGGGATCGGGCTCTGTCAACCCCCCTGATGAGCAAGACTCAGAGGAGGTCGAGCGGCTCGAGAGATTTCCCCGTGGTCGGACGGGCTTTCGCCGGACGTTTACTAGGAGCTTGCGCGATTTTACCGAAACGAATCACTCCGCTACATCCGACGCTGAACCTCCCCATGTAGCATCCTCGCCTGCGACACCACGTAATGGGAGGAATTTCTTGACTCCAATGCGAAGCAGGCAATTATCGCGAGTTACGGGTATGGAAGGTGATGATGAACTCACAAGCGATGACAATGGCGGATGGGCTGGAGAACAGAGATCGGGTGCACTGGATTCCGAGGACGATATGCCCAAGACCACCAGACAAAGTCCGATTCATACGCCACCCAAGCACTTCAGCTCTCGGCCATCAACTGCCCGACTCAAATCTCGCAAGACCAGTCCCGCTCGGCGGATCAAGAACCACACGCGAAATTACTCGGGCGCCACTATGCTGTACAACCCGATTCCTTCAAATAACGATCACGAAGCCGCCAAAGCTTCACCAAGCCCTGTCCGGCCAAGAGCGGAGACTCC